CATATTGATGTGGGACATTAAAGCACCTTTCAACTTATTCTATGGTTTCACTTAAGAGTAGCACATTATTATAAAAAGGACTAGTAATGGTACAGTTGCTACTCTATTACTACTATTCTCATGGAAACAAGAGACTCAAGCAGAATGAAGTAACATAATTAGGAAGAGTCCTGGAGATGCTGTTGGAAGGAAAGCTTCAGATCCAAGGAACAATACTATATAGGAAATTTCTAAGCACTCATTTTTCATTACACGAATCAACCAAATTTCACAATAAAACACACATATGAAAGCAAAAACAGTGGAGATCTTGAATTATATTTATCATGAACTTGGCTGGACCCGTCAATAACCATAATCCCTCAGGCAGAAAGTCATGCACACACAAAGGACACAGCACAGCTGAAGCAGCCTGACATGCATTACTGGGAAAAAAAAAAATCTGGTGCACATAGAAACATAAATACTCAACAAAAAGACAAGATATAGGAAACACCATCACAGATCAGTATTTTCAGAGAGTTTATTTATAGAATTGTTATTTCAATTTGGCACACAACTGGAAAATGCTAATACAATTTGGTGGGACAACAGGAAAAATGCCAGAGTGTTGCTGGTCCTTTGGGGAGAAAGAAGAAATGTGAATTACAAATAAGGATCCATCAGGGTTGAAAACAATATTATCTGAAAGTGAGCTGTAGCAGCAGACGACCATAAAAAAAACCCTGAAAGACTTAGAACCTTGAGACACCGGGGTGATGTTTCCAAGTTCTCTAGTAACGTAGACTGAAGCCGCCAGAGGTGAGTTTAACACAACCCAGATTGTTTGCTCTGTTGGCAGAAGCCGACCTCTTCAGAACTTAGCTGAATTTACTGTTCGTGTTTTATCTGGCTTGCTTCTGCTCACATTGAATTCAGTGGGAATGCCGCTACTGACTTCAGCAAAATAAGGTCTTTCACAGAGGGCCAATGGAGCCTCTTTCATAAGCGACAAAGCTCTGCACCCAGAGGGACAGAAATGCCATAATGGTTGTAACATTACACTGAAAAGCTGTTTCCTTCTCCTTTTTAAGGCAGTTTAACTTCTCCTTATTCCACTTGTATCTTTTCTGTATGGCCAGTACCACCAATCACATGAAGCTCTCTTCAAGATGCCTTTATTTTGTTGGCCATCTATCTCACTTTTGGCAGGATCACCACCTTAGACCTTGGTCCCAAACGTTAACAGCCTGAGGATAAACTGGATAGTTTGCTGCTGTGGCTTTCTTGTTCTGGGAGTATTTGCACCTCTGATCTCTCATTTTTCTTGTCCATATGGACTAAGAAAGGAGCAAGAATCAGAAAGGAACAGAAAAATGAGGAACAGCAAAGAGGGAAAAGTGGCTGCTAATTGCTGGCTCCAGGGGGAGCTTTGGAAGGAAGTTGGATGAGCACTTCTGAACCGCTCTCAGAAGAGCTGAAAGAGCTGGCGTGGCATCTGGAAACCACGAAGTATAAGGCTTCAGCAGTTTCTCGATACAACCCATGAGTGGCACAACCTGCTTGTAAGGTGGGAAGACATTCGCAGCAGGTTCTAGCACTTCATTATAAGAGCTGCCATACAGAAGATGTGGTTCAAAAGTCAAGCAATTGACTCAGTTACCAGAGTCTTGTCTCAGCAAGTTACATTACAGTGAAGGGGATATAGCGCAGTTTTATCATTGAGGAGAGCAGGTCAGAAGATAGACTACGAATGATACTTTGGTAAAGTCAAATCTGCAATTGTTTGTGTGAAAGGGCCTAGGTCTCTACAACAAAGCACTGAAAAAAGGCTCAGTGTGAATGGCCTGACAGGAAGGCATCCATCCAGGCTCTCCTTGGTTAGAGGCAGTCTCCCCCACCCGCATCATGCCTGGGCTTAAAATCACGCAGGCATTTACCTGTGGTCCATTAAATCTTGACTGTATGGTTATCTAACCTCTGAAGGACAAGAGAAATGAAACTATCAATGTAATTTAAATCAAGAAATGGAAATAAGTGTTCTCCGATACAATTTCTCCAGCACAATCATCTGCTTCTTTCCTCTCCACTTCTCTAGTTTACTTTAGAAAAGAGATCCACAAAGGTGTTGGGCATAACTGGGGAGACAGTAGCCTACAAAAGCAGTTTTGCCATCAGAGAAACTGCAGCTGGAACAACATCTACGAGACAACGAAGCAGCCAGCCTCAGCTGGCATAACAGACAAGGCCCAGCACAACACTCAGTCATTTCTCATTGCACTGCTCTGGGGGATGTGGACTCGTTTTACACTATTACACCACGAGTGTACAGTATTGCACTGCTGTTGTTCAACTCCAACAGATAAGAGGATGCCGCAAAGATGTTGGGGTACGTTTGTTTATAAACAAAAAAGCAGAGATAAACTCCAGTCCTGACTCCCCTCCATGCCCCTGATCTCCAACCACTGGCCATTTAAAAAAAAAAAAAAAAATCTCTTCTCACACCTAAAGCCACTTAGAATATCTGTCCACTCTAATGAGCATGAAGTAAAAGCAAATATATGAAACAATATCACTAGATGACTTTGCAGATTCACCTAGATGGTTAACTCACCATCTGAGTAAGCCATCTCTGCTAAATATTTTCATTATTACTACGTGCTCTGTAAATCAGAACAAACAGCTCTTTTATAAAACTCCATCTATAAAAGTCTGGCAAACAGGTTAAACTCAAAAACAGTTAAGTACAATATTCAACCCTTTTATTTCTGTGTCCTTTTATTTCTAAAACATTCATTCAAGGAATGGAAGTTAGGACTCTTGGTACTGTATGAGGTATCATCTATGCTACCATCCACTCTTTTTAGCAGAATGAAAAGAGAAAATACATACGGCTTTAGAATAATTTCACTTGCAATTACCTTAATCATAATAGCCACTCAAAAAAATCCATCACTGGAAAACCAATGCTAAAATAATACATTCTCTTACTTCCCTTGTTTGGAGCTAGAATGATACCATGATTTTTTTTTAATTAAAATTTTTAGAAAAGACATACTTTGTAGGACCCACCTACAACATGCAATTGTTTTAAGTAGCATCCCTAAAACCAGTATGACAGTTTAATGTGGAAAAGGCTACAATGTAAAGAACAATGTTCTAGCCCAGTAGTGAAACATAGACATGGGTACAGTATGATTTCCTACCACTCTAGGCATAAGCTTAAGTCACATCCACACAGCTGAGACCAAACAAGTATTTAAACCAGAATAGCGAAATGTTTTTTCTAAGTGCAGTGTAAACACAGTCAAAGAAATAGGATATACTGAGTGTTAACACTATACAAACAAATATCAAAGTGCACTGGCACATGTGCACTAAGCAAGCACTTTTGAATACTTGCTGGTCTGCATAAGAGTTCCGTTTATTGTAAAATGACATCAGAAACTGCTATTTACCAGGTGTTTACCTATTCTCATATCAAAGAAGTTCCTCTTTAAACTAGACTGGGAGACTCCAAGCACCACCATGGGCCTCAGCTGTGGGAAAGCTGCATGAGCTCAGGCTCATGCCTGACAAGTACCAGAAGTAACTAACTGGGTACCTCACTCTCACCTTTTCTTCATTTTCACAAGAAGTGAGCTTTGGCCAATAAGGGTCCACTGCGAATGGTACTGAACACTGTAATCCATTACAACAAAGCAATTTAGGATATAAATGGCTCTAAACAAGCATGTCTTCCTAAAGGCAGACTAGGCATTTTAGCCAGCATACGGGAAGAAGGAAAGGAGGGCTGAAGCTCTTCTTTGTACCTTATCTTCCTAAGGAAAAATAATTTAGGCAACTACTTCTGTTTACTGCTCTATATCTTCAACTAAGATGCAGGTAAGCCCTTGTGCAATATGTAACATCTTATTTTTCATTTCTCATACAGAAGCTAAGTCTGATCACAGCTTATGCAAGGAAGTGATAGAATCGTACCCAAAATAAAAGCAGTCACATTTTCACAAGCTAAGTTTACACGATTTCAACCTGAATCTAAACTCACAACCTGCCACAGACTGTCTTAATTGCCTATTTAAATATTTGTATTCAACCTCTGTGACACAATTAGGTTTTTATACTAGGCTAACTATGGCTATTTCTCATATTTAAATTTTAATCCGTGTTCTTTAACTAATAAACAGAAGAGCTGCTTTTTTTATTAGGCCTTAAGTAATTTAAATCAGCCTGAAGGAAAAAAAGCTGCAGTCTTCTTGTAAAATATTACTAAAGCCTTGATAAATATCTGGATTTTTACTCTTCACTAAGGTTTGAAAGCTCCAGAAGTTTTTCAAAATAGATCAGACCCTTTTTAAAGAGGGCATATTCACTTATTAGTCATAGCATATAGTAGTTTATTAAATTTAAAAATTGGAAGTTAAGTTGCTTTGTGTATTATCTACATGTGTAAAAGCTATTTTCAAACAGCAGCAATAGCGTCAATTTTGGAAAAACAGTTCTCTTGGAAAACTACCCGTACCAAAAGGCTAGTAAGACTAAGCTTCAGTCTACTTTGCCAGTAAGGTTACAAAATAAAAGTCTGTATCTGTAGTTATGCAACATGTGAGGACGTCTTTCGGAAATGTGAACATTAGCTAGAAGTTAAAAGAGGTATCTAGACATGCTCTGCTACTTAGGTAAGGAGAAAAACCCCTTTTTAATCAGAACAGCAGTATGATGAAAGAAGTTAAATTGAAAGTAATTAAGAATTTAGTTTAAACAGCCTAAGCTTATACTAAATAAACTTTGAACAGAAAACATCTGTATTAACTAAGAACTTTAGCTTTCTTGAGGAGAGATGGGAAACTTATCTACTGATAATTCAAACAGGTACATTTTAACCTTCTAAAACCCTTCAGAGGGATGCAGAGAACAATACAGATGGTTACAATTTTGCAGATAGAGTTCCACATATTTTAGAGATGCAACAAATTGTCATTTGATATCAAAGGGCCCATGTTCTGTTCTGCGTATGCTGGATTGACAAAGAATGTTTTTCAGCGAAGTTTTGCAGGCCCTGCTGTACTTCAAGTGCCACATGTTCTTCAAACTTGCTTAAACAGATTCAAGTTTAAATGGTTTCTATGTAAATTTCCACAAACCAGTAACTGCAAGCTGTTAGGGATGGCTCAAGAGCTTTCTGCAGAAAAGAGTGCACCTTAATCTAAAAAGACAGAAAGTAGTTTCTGGGGTTGTAGAAAAATTGCTGGTTTATGTGTCATGTTGCAAATGGAAACAACCAATCAACTTACTATATCTGTTAAACTCATTCCATATGACTCTATCCAATGGAAAAAAAAAACCCCAAACAAAAAAACAGGTACTGAAGGAAGAGGCTGTTTCTATAGGCACAAATACGAAATGATGAGCAAGGCCTACATCAGAGAAAAATCTAGCATGCATCTTCAACACTGTACGCAGAAATCAAGGACAAGAAGTACCTGTTAAAAACTATACAAGGAAACACTGCCTTCTTTTAAAAAGGTATATGGAAATAATTACACTGATTAATAAACCACTGATATTCACAACCCATCTGAACTAAACTGGTTTACATCTTCAGGAAAAAAGTCAAAACAGTATAGAACATTTCTTTTTTTTTCCTCTTAAAAAGCAGAAGGAATGCCACACTGTCAAAGATAAATTGCTGCTGCATATAAATTTGTGTCAACCTTCTTGTGCTTTCTGTTCAGGGGATACAGAACACAGGGTCATGTTTCCTGCTAAACTGTTTACAGAGTTATCAGATGCCTATACAAATCAACCTTTTTTCCTACCTAATTCATTATGGAGTTGCTACAGCTACAGTAACAAGATGTAAAAGGTTCCAAGAAATTCCTGTGAGAACTACTTCGGTTATTTTATGAATAAATTTGGATTTTTCTTTAGTTCACCTACGTTCACCAATATATACTGTATATGCACCTTGAGTATAAGAACTGCATAAAAACAGTCTGGAAAAAAAAAAACAATGTGGAAACTGAGGTGTGAGGCAGTCAGTCCCCTTTCTACTTCTGATTATTATTATTTTATTCTTTTTTAAATACCACCACTGAAGAAACCCAATGCACTATATAGTCCCCAAACCCACACCAAACTGCTCTGCTTTGCTGTGCATCTTTCCCAGCAGGTTTTCACACCTGCTTCTTCAGACAGAGCATTCGGAGGCTACAAAAGCACAACTTGTACTTCTCCATCAGTCAAGTTTATTTGTGTGATGTTTTTTCTAGATCTGGAAGTTTTTCAATTAGTGCTTTATGGTTCATGTTGATACTGGCTATAAGTCCTCCCTCATTGCCATCTGAGCCAGTGTAACTAATTTCTTCACCAGTTAGGGTAGTCATATGGCCACCCAATGCTCTCAACACTGCATTTCCAGCACATATGTCCCACTTCTTAATGTAGGTGACATGGATATACACGTCAGCTTCTTCTTGATTCTTTTCAGCAACGTCAAGGAGGGCCAACACTTTATAACCTAGAAAAAACAGGCAGAAGTTAAAAAAAAAAAATTAAACCAAGTTTTCCTGTTCCTCATAAAGGATAAATCTAATAGTAAGTGTTAAGATGCACATAAAAGATTTAGGAAAGTGATGTCATTAATTACATCATGCCATCCAGTATAATGGCAGAAGCATCAATAAACTTTGTCTGCCTTCTAACCTGTAGAGAAAATTTGAAAAAGGAACACCCCCCCACACACCCCCCAACAAGATTTTTCCACTGCACCCCATTTAAAACCCTGGGTATTTGAGACACATTATTTTTAGACAGCCTTTACCAATATGCTATAGACTTATCTAGAGACACATTAAAAGAACAAGACCAGAAACTCAAATACAGTTTTGCTCTTAATGTTCACTCACTTATTTCTCAATCTCTGTATTATGCTGAAGTCAACCTTTTTCTTCCTGGATTTTTATTACAATAGAAGGAAGATGCATATACCACTCAGCCCAGGGCATTCCTCTTTATCATACATTATGCAGTACAAAGTCATTGCTCAAAATAGTATTCTTTCTTTTATGGAATTTTTTCAATTTTTCAAGTGTTCAACCAAAATCCTTGTTTCATTAAACTGTTCCTTTCTTTATCTTCGTACACAGAGTCAAGCCCTGGAGAAGATCTGCTATAATCAGTTACACTTTCACTTCCTTTATCATAAGAAAACTCATTTAGATTCATTGTCAAGAACCTATGCAACATCTTCTTGACTAAACAATTCATAACGGAGCTCTAGCTTCCCATATTAAAGACATAGAATGATACATTTCTGTAAAATTCAAATTTTGCATGGCTTTTCTAAGACTTTGAAACAGCAATTGCTTCACACTAGTGTCTCATATATTTCCATTCTGTCAGCAACACACACAAGGATATTGTGTAAGCTTACAAAAGCTAAGCTAAAACGTCTTTGGACTGAACATGAGACACATAAAAATGGCCTTCAGTGACACTAGTTTTCTCTTTTGACATAAATGCAAGACATAGTACCAAGCTTTAATGGCTTTTTCTCAAAAAAAAAAAAAAAATTGTTCAATGAAACATACTACTAGCTAACTAAGAACCAACAGATTCTCTTCCATGATTCCGTATGTGGTCACAAACCCCTTTTTCCTCCACAGAGGCACCAGTGCCTTCAATGAATGCACATCAGTGTGTTCAATGAAAAGACCACGAGAACATTGCTGGCCCAGGCTTAGGTTCACTAACATAGTAACTTGTGAATAGCTTGAAGCCTGAACTAAGTTTGCATGTAGGTTTCTATATACAGGAAAAAACTGTGTCCCATTGTCAAGTGCTTGCTTTTAGGGATGCGAAGGACAAAAGGTGGGGAAAAAGAAGAGGTGCCACAGTTATATCCTTTTGTCTAATAACAGCTATCCCCTTAAATCATTTGGAAGCAATAAAATGGATAGGATGCTTAAGGAACCAAACCTGCTCCACCAGCGGGGATTATCACAGTCTTATTTCCAAATGTCTGCCGTGCAACCTGCTCAACTTTTCCTGCATGGGAGCGGGATACAATAATCCTTGGAGTTTTCTCATTGTAGGAGGCACGAGCTTTTATGTTTGACCCACCATCCACCATTGCCCAGGCTACAAGAAAAACATAAATTCTGCTAAGATTTACAAAGACAATCTCTGTTAAGTGTAAAGATAAAAGGATACTTATCTGAGAAAATGGAATTGATGCTTCTGGTTTAATTTCTCTCCCTATTGTAAAAGAGGGTTAGGGCTGACAAAAGGAAGGGGTGCATGCCCACATGTGCACACAAGTGGAAGAGAAAGAGAAACAGCACCCACACAAACACACACTTTTGTGCTTATGGCATTATCCCATACCTAACTATTCTTGTGTGATACTTCCAAAAAACAGAGTAAGAGGGAAAAATCCCAAGTAGGAATATTTGGAACTTACAATTGGAAAGCCACCAAAGTTAAAAGGATGGCTCTGAGTCAGAAATAGATCCAGTATTTCCTCAAACAAACTTTTTATAAGGACAAAAAGCCCCACTATCCTTCAAAGCAGGTAGCAAGGAAGGAAATAGCTCAGGAGGATAGTAATACTAAGGAAAACATTTGATGGTGTGTTTCAGAGGACTGGATTTAGAATACACAACCTCCCACTTGTTTCATCATGAAGTTCAAAGCCAAGCTTGGTAGGTGGCATCCCCTAACCATTAATTTGACATTTACTTAGCAGACTAACCAGCAATTTCATCTCAGTAGAGGGCCAGATTGTATGGCAACAGACTAAATTATGTGTAATAACAATGCCGACTGCCCTTTACTGCTTTGTGTTTGTGTGGTAGTATTAGGAACAATCCTACTTGCAACATACTGTTATTTCCAGCTTAGGAAATGAATACTGTTCACATAGAATGACAGACTTCATTGCACCTCATCTGATGCCATGTCTGAGCATTTCACACTTTACTATCACTAAAGGAGATAAATTTTCAAAATTACAGTCCTAAAAAAACAGTTCTTCAGGTAGATGTTGATAGTTAGAAAAATGTTCCAATAACCCCAAGATTCTCAAAGCATATTGGAATATAGCACACACTTAAATGACTGGAAATTAAGTTCATATTTAAAGACAGTAAAATATTTAGCACAAAATATTGAGCATTCAGTGGGCAAAAAAAGAGAACAAATAGGAAATACATTTATTCAGAATTAGTTTCTGTGCCAGAGCTACTGCATAACTTCACAACTCTAGAGGTCAGTATTGCCTAAGGGAAAATGAGAACAGAAATTCTTGTTTCAAATATATGGTAAGACAATGTATTGGGTTTGGGTGGCAAGGTTTTAGTAGCGGGGGAGGCTACAGGGGTGGCTTCTGTGAGGAGCTGCTAGAAGCTTCCCCTATGTCCGACAGAGCCAATGCCAGCCGGCTCCATGATGGACCCACCGCTGGCCAAGGCCGAGCCCATCAGCGATGGGATAACACATTTAAGAAGGAGGGGAAAAAGTTGCTGTGCAAGAGAAACTGCAGCCAGAGAGAAGAGTGAGAACATGTGAGAGGAACAACCCTGCAGACCCCAAAGTCAGTGAAGAAGGAGGGGGAGAAGATGCTCCAGGTGCCGGAGCAGAGATTCCCCTGCAGCCCATAGGGAAGACCATGGTGAGGCAGGCTGTCCCCCTGCAGCCCAGGGAGGTCCACGGGGGAGCAGATATCCACCTGCAGCCCATGGAGGACCCCACACCGGAACAGGTGGGTGCCCCAAGGAGGCTGTGACCCCATGGGAAGCCCACGCTGGAGCAGGCTCCTGGCAGGACCTATGGAGAGAGGAGCCCACACTGGAGCAGGTTTTCTGGCAGGACTTGTGACCACGTGGAGGACCCACACTGGAGCAGTCCGTGCCTGAAGGACGGCACCCCGTGGAAGGGACCCATGCTGGAGCAGTTCATGAAGAACTGCAGCCCATGGGAAGGACCTACGCTGGAGAAGTTTTGGAGGACTGTCTCCCGTGTGAGGGACCCCACACTGGAGCAGGGGAAGAGTGTGAGGAGTTCTGTCCCTCAGGAGGAAAGAGCGGCAGAGACAACGTGTGATGAACTGACCACAACACCCACTCCCCATCCTCCTGTGCTGCTGGGGGGTAGGCAGAGAATTCAGGAGTGAAGCTGGGCCTGGGAAGAAGGGAGGGGTGGGGGGAATGTGTTTTGAAATTTGGTTTTATTTCTCATTACCCTACTCTGGTTGATTGGCAATAAATTAAGTTAATTATTTTCCCCAAGTTGAGCCTGTTTTGCCTGTGATGGTAACTGAGTGATCTCTCCCTGTCCTTATCTTGACCCACGAGCCCTTTGTTATATTTTCTCTCCCCTGTCCAGCTGAGGAGGGGGAGTGATAAAGTGGCTTTGGTGGGCACCTGGCACCCAGCCAGGGTCAACCCGCAACAGACATGAATGCTAAAACTACTTTGAAGCTTTCAGAAGTGCATACACATTGCCAAGCTTGCAGCTACGCTCACCGATACGTTATTAATACTAAAGAATTAATTAGTTCATGGTTGTGGCATTAAAATCATGTCAGATAGTCAATGAGGCTATGCTAGAAAGTCTTGCTTGTTACACACAAACAGTTGCCATTAAGATCTTTAATCAATCTTTATTATTCACACTGAATAAACAGCAGCTTCTGGGTATAATATCACGGACCAAAGTTCTTCTGCTGAATGAGCAAAGTGCTCTTCTTCTGAAGACTAATAGCACATGTAAGACTGGCCAGTATGTGTAGGTTTCACTTTGCTTTGCTATAAGCGCTCCAACTGAAGGGATCTTAATTCTTAAACACATTTTCAGTTAGTTTTAAATGCATCATTTCCCGTTGTGGTTTTACAGCACAGAACACATCTGCAGCTCTAATTCTGAGGTCTGCAGCAGCGCTCTTTTGCCCCAGGTACTATTTTCTCATTTATACCTACAGATGTTCTCTTAAACATCAAATTTTAATTAACAGTATGACTGAAGATGCTGGAAATATGTGAAGGCATAAAGATACCTGTATATGCTGAGAACGGCTTGTGTATCACTCCTATTACTGGTTTACCATTTACAGCCACGCAAACCATTGTTGTGACATACTGTCGAAGATCCTCTGTGGGCAAAATGAGAAAGTGAGCAAGTTTACAGCCAGATGCCAAGAACACAAAAAGAAAGCAGACCTGACATTATAGAAAAGTTGTTCTTTGAAGACTAGTCTATATTCTGCCTCTTACAATTATGTAACTTTGTTGTATCTTCAAAAAACCTTGGCAGTTTTCAAACAACTTTAAAGACTTCAGTTTTCCAGCAATTTTTCCTGTTCAGTAGATGTAACCTATCCTACCAGGTCTAATGTTAACAGCCGTGTCTTATGCAGCATGTATTGTCATGGAAATCTGTGCCCCTATACTCTCCCTTCTCTGCCTCACCTCCTGTCCTCTATTGGTTCAAAGCTGATAATTCAAATACCGAAGAACATTCACCAGAAAAGGTGACTGTATCAATGGAATACTCACAAAAAAATCCCCATTTTTCTGTTTGTTCTTCAGTACTTATCAGCAAGAATTTTAGTTGGATTGCCTTGAACTGCTTATGTGACATCTTAAAACACTTGAAAAAGGGGAAGATTGAATTATGAATGCTTTTTTGAAAAACTATAACAATTTTTATCAGATTAAATAGAATGTTTACTTAGTATTCCCTTTAAGTAAACAAACAAAATATTCTGAGATATTTAGTGTTGCCACAGTAATAACTTCAATAAAGAAATGTGTAAATCCAGCAAAATCCATAAATTACAGTTACCATTTATTTTAGCAATTGCTTACTTCCAAGGAACACCACAGTAATTTCACAGTTGGAATATATGAAAGTAAACGCTGTGGTCTAACAACTATAGAGATTTCATGATGCAATTTGTTCAATTAAATCACACTAGTTTTGACATAACACACTTTAACAAGAGATGTCATTTTAAATACTTACTATTTTTTCTCCAGTATAAAAGGCAGACATCAGAATTACACACATGATTTGTCAACAAGAATCAGCTACCTGTGTATTCTTGTGTAGCATCTAATGGATCGATCCAGACAGTAACACTTTCTGCTGGAACCTCTTTAGGCTGTATTTTTTGTTTTATGTCTTCAGGAATACTGCGATCCCAAGAGACTGTCTCCTGATCAGCTGTATCAACACGCTCTTCAGAGTTTATCTATGATGAGACAACAAAAGTAGCTTCATTAACTTATCAGATACAGTAACTGTGGTACTCGGAGAAATTACAGATTTGCTCAGATCTTCTCTTTCTCCCTTCACCTCCAGCTAAAAATGCACAAACTACTCATTTTTCAGCAACTCACAAGCTATTACCATCAAGCAACAAGCAATGGAAAACCACAATCCAGAATTTTACTACGAACCACACCACAGCTGGACACTTTCTTTGGCTGCAACTCTTCCTACTGAACATTCTCACAGTATGAATCACAGCTTTTTTTTAAATCAAAAGTTAAATGCAGTTGCTTCAAAGACTACAAGCCAAACATCTGACTTTGCAGAGTCACGTGGTATACAGATACAGCAGGGGTCTAATATTCCATTTATACACATCAGTAGATGCAGATTGAAATATACAGATATTTTATCAACAAATATTTTGCAGACTATAGTATGACTTGGGGGAGTAGGAACCCTAGTATATATTCCTGCTTCCGGCATTGAGTTACAACTAGCAATTTAAGCAGCTCAACTGGATGTAACCATTACACATTGCGAGATGAATGTTATTTTATAAACAAGCTAATAATATTCCTTACCTGTCTTTAGGGTAAGTTGGGCTAAGGACCTAAGAAGGCCCATGAAGAACATTTATAAGCAGAAATCAAAGGTCACATTTAAGCCTACTGTCATTGGCTGCCTAGCTTAATGAATTTTATTCTGGACCAGAGGGCATTTTAGTATGCCAAATAGAGTTTGGTCCAGTAGCAGAGCACACAGTCCCAGTCTGTTGAATGGAAGAACGTTCTGCAAAACCCAATACAATGTCATTGTGACTGCAATAGCAAGGTATTTCTGGATCACAAGAGATGCAGTTAGCACAAAACACTGTATGTAATGATCTCTCATGTTACAAAACACGACATAACCTGTCAGGAAGAACTGCTGGGGAAATATGGATCAATCTGTCTTAACCCATCCATACCAGCTTACTACTACTGTAAACGTGGTTTTTAGGAGAGCTGTAATCCAACTGGACATAAGTAGTGCTAACAGAAATTCAGACAAATTCATCCCATTTACTTTTAGCACCTTAGTTACAGTAGGAGACTAGTATTTCTATGCTCCTTCTACTGCCAATAAAAACAAAATCATTGCTATGCCTTTCTAGCTTCAGCCTGTGTGAATGCTTCAGAAACATAGCACTCCACTAATTACTTAGTAGGATGATGATGCTTATGGCTTAGATGTGTAGGTTATATGTCTGAAGTTGAGTTAACAAATCTGGACTTTTGGGACATTTAAGAATACTAGGAAAACCAGCTTTTTTACTCTTGCTAACTTTAAAGGTGGTTTCCTCTAATATAATTCTAAATGGATGCCAAACTGACTAGCTCTTGTGTCCCGTCAAGGCAAAATAGTAGGCACGCATGGGGTACAATGTGTCTACAACCTAGAACCACTGATTTCCCTTTACTTGCTACAGGTAGTGTCAAGACTGCTAGCTCAGATTCAGCTGACTGCTAGACCAGATAAATCCCCTCTAACTAAACCATCTTGTTATTACAGATGTTGTAGGTAGGTGACTTTGAAAGACAATGAAAATAAAGAAACAATCTGACTACATTTGAATGTTACAGTCTTTGTATCAGCAGGATTTTTACATAATTCACATCATGACAAGAAAAGACATCACACACCTCAACTGTAACACACTATTAGCAAAGGGTTAAGGGCCATCTCTCCAAGAGAATTCAAAAAAAGAAAGCAAGCAGAACTGCAGCAACTCCAGCCATACATCATAGCTGTCTTCTCATGTAAAACCAGTATTTGAAGCATTGTGTGCCAAACACAGAGTCCTTGAAGTTGCCATGACAGTTACAAATTAAACATCTGTCACTGTACAAGAAACCTGACAATTGTGTTTTCCCCTAGGGAAAACAGTCCTGCAAAGTCAGGATGACCAGTCCCACAGACTTGGCAGCCTCAACACAGCCCCTGGGCAGTTTAAGTTCCACTACAGCCTATTACTGTAAAAAAAACCAAACCAACCAAACAAACCCAAAAACCAAAAACATTTCCTCCACAGAAGAAAGAGGCCTCCAAAAGTTAAAGGGTTGGAACCCAAAAGGAAGAATATCTTGTTAAACCTGTTGTTACAGTACACTAATATTAAAAGACTGAAACTATCTGAAAGGTATTGTTTTCAGAGAAAGACCTCCTAGTAGTTCAACTTTTGCAGAGGTGGCCATGACGCTGCAGTATTTATAATGCTTCTGAGGAGTCTCTCTCAACAGCCACAATTAGTCTGCCAGTGAAAAAAAAAAGGGGGGGGGGGGGAATAGCGATCAGGTTGCAAAGCCATCTGGAGAAAATAAAAATAAAATAAAATAAAAAAAATCAACTGGGTCACTAGTTTTCCATTCATACCACCATTTACTCTGTAGCCTTGGCTGAATACTCCACAAGTTACAGTCCAAGTAGAAATTCATAGTTATTCCACCACACGCAGTTATTAGATTATTTATTGTTAGGAAGCTAAAGCTACATTATGCGTTTTGCCAGACATAGCTGCCTGAGAGAGGATCACCAACCCTTAATGCTGGGAACTTATCTCGCCCCCCGCACTTTATTTTTTTTTAATGCATGAGAATATAACCTGGAAAACATGCCTTTGTGTTAATACAATGTTCCCTTTCTACTTGTCATTCTCATTTGCTGGAAGCCTCCAGAGGCCACGACCTTACATTTCAAGCGTTTCTGAAGCGATATGGATATGTATTTGACTGCATTCCCAAGTCTTCACTCAGAAATTGGGAGCAGCTATGGTAGAAAGACAATCACAACACCAAATGTTTCAGACAACAGAGCTTGTTCCAGCAAGACACTCTGAGTCAAACTGCCACGTTAATGTAAATAATTATAAAGTCTGCATGCTTGCTATCATATACATAACTTTGCCTACTCCTGAGAGTCAGATTTAGATAGCAACCCATCATGCAAGAACTTGAGGCAGCAAGCCAAAGACAGAAATAAATAGTTATTTGGGGTTAGCCAACTAACAGCTGTAAGCTGTAAAAACCTGTCTCGGGAAGCTCTGTAAGCTGCCCACCGACACTGAGTTTAACTACATTTAAGCAATCTTCCCCAGTCCTACTTGGAAGGGAAAGCCCTCCTCACAAAGAGCTGCATCAAACACAGAGATTTAATAAAACACATATAAATAGGTGAATGGACTACTATTGAAAGGTCAACAAAAAAATTATTTCATAAAAAAGGCAGTCTGGCTGCATCTCGCCAGCACAGAGCTTCTTCAAAACGAGTCTGAGAGGTGCAGGAATCCCATAAGGGATGAGGGATGCTGCTCACAGCAGCCAGCAGCAGAGGTCCAACAGCAACATCGGGATCAGCACGTGGTGTGCCTTCCGAAACACCCAGGTGTCCCCAGCCTTCGGAAGCCCCTTGCACCCTCTCCTCTGGCACATTGGTGATTGGAATACAGATCTGCTCGGAGACACGGGAAGCAACTCAGGAGTGTACTACAAACCCGTGTGGATAAACGCAGTACTCGAAACAAACAGCCAACAGTCCTGACCACGTAAAGTCTTCAGGGAACCTCACAGTGGCTCATTGTCCTGTGCTGGGCTACTCCCTACCAGCACTTCGTGATGTCTATGTGGCAGATCATCACCCAACAAAACTGCTTGAATACTAGGTAGCTGTCTGTGGCGAGGTGAACAAACTCAGGCTTTTTCCTGGTTTGAAAGAGTAGGACACAGCTGTAGTTTTGGTTTTGAATTCACCCATTAAAGATAAATTAAACTGAAAACATATATGCTAAAAAAATTAAATAGAAGTTTCTGTTCAAATACATAAATTATTAAAAAAACCCCAAACATCAGTACATGAGAACGCAATGCTTTTCTTAGTGTTTGGTGGGAAGCTAATTTTATTTGAATTTATTACTCCCCCTCCTTCCCCACATCCTTATTCATCCCAATACTCATTTTGTATTTTAACGTGCAAAGAAACCAGTATCTTGAAAAAAGATGAGGTAGAACAGCTCTTTATTCCTGAGTGTCAATATCCTCATCTGATAATTAAGTCCTTTCAAATCCAAATCTCAGTGCTGTTTTATTAAAATAGAAAACAAAACAAGAGCAACACAAATACTATCCCACCTGTATTATAAAGAAGAAATACTAATTAAGCTATCAAGGTAAAAACAGAACAAAAACACCCCACAGTTTAGGTAACAACAAAAGATACTATTCACTAGTCCAAATATGAATATAAGAATATTCCACGTATTACATTTCAAGAACAGAGACTGGAACAGGTTGCCCAGAGATATGGTAGATGCCCCATCCCTAGGAACATTCAAGGTCACATCAGATGGGGCTCTGAGAAACCTAATCTAGTTGAAGATGTCCCTGCTCATTGCAGGGGGGTTGGACTAGATGACCTTGAAAGGTCCCTTCCAACCCAAACTATTCCATCATTCTATGATTCAATGAATAAGTCTATTGATTTGAATGGGACCATGAAAATGGAAAGCCTGGAGGCCCAGACAAAATAGCGTGCACAGGGGAACGCTAGTACAACATTAATAGATGTTTGACTTTGTTCTTCTGTTTTGTTAGGGCACTAACTCTCCATGACATACACAGCCACTTCACTGGTGGTTATGCAGTGTAAGCATTATGCATACCCAAGATTCAAACTTAACTTTGCCATTTGCATTCACATGACAGGAGATGGAGGAACGGAGTGGAGGGACAGAAGTAAATAAGTAAATGCAAACATTTACAACCAATAAAAAAACAATGATCCCTTCTTACTGGCTGACTGTCCTGGTTTCAGCTGGGATAGAGTTAACTGTCTTCCTAGTAGCTGGTACAGTGCTATGTTTTGAGTTCAGTATGAGAAGAATGTTGATAACACACTGATGTTTTCAGTTGTTGCTCAGTAGTGTCTAGACTAAGTCAAGGATTT